CCCACGAGGAAAGAAAGGAAGAAAATAAAGTAGTGTGTGTGTGTGTGTGTGTGTGTGTGTGTGTGTGTGTGTACATACAGAGGCCCCCATTAAAATGTTCAGATATACTGGCAATTGGCGCATGTTATAATGATATTCCCTTTACTATCATCCGTTGCAGAGATAAAACTGTAAAGGCTTTTGGGTGGGATTTTCAAAAACACTGTTAACCTGAGTTTGCTCCTGTTAAAGCCAGGGCTGCTGTACATGGTGGTTTGTTTTGATTTGGTTCTGTGGCCACTTGTTCATTGTCTTTAATTGATGTACAGCAGTGGCTCTCAACCTTTCCAGATGACTGCACCCCTTTCAGGAGTCTGATTTGTCTTGTGTACCCCAAGGTACACCTCACTTAAAAACGACTTGTTTATAAAACCAGACATAAAAATACAAAAGTGTCACAGCACACTAGTACTGAAACATTGCTTACGTTTTCATTATTACCATGTAATTATCAAATAACTCAATTGGAATATAAATACTGCACTTACATTTCAGTGTCTAGTATATAGAGCATTGTATTCAAGTCGTCTGTGTGAAATTTTAGTTTGTACTGACTTCGCTACTGCTTTTTATGTAGTCTGTTGTAAAATTAGGCAAATATCTAGATGTACCCCCCTGGAAGACCTCTGCGGTTGAGAACCACTGATGTAGGGGACCCAGGCATTCTGGCATTGGGGCACCAACATGAATGTCCTAACAAGAATACATTTTCTTTGTTTAGCCACTACATTAAATTTCCTCTGACAAAAGAATATTCTAGTGTATGCCTGGACAGTGGGATCTGCAATGGCTCCAGTCGTGGCTGCGAAGGTAAAATGTAATCATTTGGATTGGAGAAGCTTTGCTAGAAGGTCATTCAGACCTACCTCTATCAGCCTTTAATTTTCTGCTTTATTGTATTATTGTTGTGGATTGTGGACTTGAATGGAATGTTTGGTTCTACACTGTGATTGAATCACATTATTGGAGAGGGCTTCTTATCTGCATGTGTGATGACAGTGGCCCACAAAATCTCAAACTCCTCTGGTTTACACAGTGCAGTATGTCAAGTTTGTGTATTTGAAGAACCAGGTGTAGTGCATTAGTCTTCTGCTACACTAGTAGTCTCCTGTCCCTGATCTCTATCAAATGTTCGAATGGCATTAGAGCAGGTGGCTGAGCAGCAGGAGGAAAAGGGAGGGGTCTTGTGGGGGCACTGTGGTGTAATCAAGTGAGAGGGTGCCCAGAGCCCTGCAGTCTAAAGCTACAGGGGCTCATGCCTGGACAGAGCCCTGCAGCCTGTTGCACATTTGCACTTCTGTGGAGACGCTGCCACAAGAGGAACCTGCTGTGCTGCCATGAGAGTAACCGTGGGAACAGGGGATATGGAAGAACTTAAAACAAGACACATGCTGCCTTGCTTTAGAGAAAGGGAGCTACCTCCATTGGACCTACCCATCTCTCTCTGCTGAAAGGACAGACCCCACTGAACACCTGCCACTCCTCTGTTGGGACATTGCTGGAGCATACTATCAGCTGTGCTAACTGGCATGACTTGTAGCCCAGTGTCCACCTAGTGTTCTTCACAGGAACAAAATACCTGTTTTGTCCTTACCTTCAGGACCCTTCACAAATTAGCCCCTCTGTCCCCTTCAGTGCACTAATGATCCCACTCTTGATCACGGCTTTCCCTCTTCTCCAACCAGCATCCATTGTTCTTTCTTCCACGCAACTTCTCCCCAAAGAATAGATTCATGGGGACTGATGTGGTCTGAATTATGTGTCAGGCAGAGAATTAGCCCCAGCATTTTGAATGGATTTGAAAGGGGATGGGGCTGTGGAGGTTGCAATGACCTACCTGTGAGATTTTCAATCATTGGCAACTTTCAAATCTAGATTGGATGTTTTTCTAAAGTTCTGCTCTAGTTCAAAGAGGAATTAATTCAGGGAAGTCCCCGTGCCTGTGTAATACAGGAGGTAAGAGACTATGTGATCACAATGGTCCCCTTTAGAGTCTTGGAATCTGAGATGATAAAACCCAGGTTGTATTACCTAGATCCCTTAACAGGAAAAAAACGCCTTTCAGGTGCAACTGATTAGCAAATGCAAATTTCTTCTTTAAAGTGTGAATCTACTGTTTTTAGTTAGTTTGTTGTAAAGCAGCTTCTGCCACATCTTTACTGGCATTTGTGTGTCATGTAAGCAGTGTGCCTCTCGTAGCGAGCTCACACAGCATGGTTCTCAGTGAGGTACTTGTGTCTCTGTAAAGGCTACAGAGCATGCAATATTGTACTTGTTGTTTTTAATTTTCGCCAGTTGAAGAGATGGAACATCAGGATGGAGATGAGGGCAGGGAAAAAGCCTCAGAAACAGATTCCTGCCAGTCAGAGGGCTGTGCACATGATTTGCTGGGGAAGGAAGGGCAGCATCACAAGAAGCATCTGTTCACCTTTAGCCTTGTGAATTCCTATGGGATTTCTGAGATAAACTCAATTACAACAGAGGGGAAACTTCTAAAACTGAACTGTAAGTATCCTCTGTAACTCTTAGCTCTCCCTTCAGTAGCATGCTGACAGCAACCCTGACTCATTTTTCTGTCCTACAGCCTATGCCACCCTTGCTATTGACTTGGATCCAGACACTCGGAAGCTGCTGTTTGATGAACAAGAGTCACAGGTCAGTAGTTTGCTTCTTTAAAGGTTGTTGATGTGATCTCTAGTTGGAGCTAAGCAAATGCAGAGATGCTGATACAGAATGCAAGATCAGCCCCCCTCCTAGGAATCAGAGAGTTCAGTATGGAAGGGGAAAATGTATCTGTTTGCCTGAAAACTTCTAATAATAAGGTCTACAGATCCATTCCAGTGGGCCCTCTGCCTACTTCTGCCAAAGGAGGCAGAACCAGAGTTGTCAGTCCCTGGCAGTGGGATTTGCCCCAGCCCTGAAAACCTAGCCAGTTTGAGAACTTGCTCAGCAAAGGATAGTTGTATGGTCAGTAGACTAGTTCAGAATTCACTTCCAGAACACTTGAAAGATATTACAGTTATGTTCTGCAGAGCTTAACAGGAACTTCAAAATTTCTTAGTGACTTAAATCTTGAATTGGGGTCCCAGTTTGTAATTAAGAATGATCTGCTTTGTGTCTGGTCTGGATCTATGGACCTTACTGCTGAGAGAAAGGAAATTTTCAGGTAAGCATGGGGAAATGTTTCTACTTTCTCATGCTAGGGTCCGCAGACCTGTTAAAGTGAGATTTTGATTGCAGTGTGCATGTAGGGAGGGAGAAAACTGACACAAACCTACCCTCATTTACAACAGACAGGCATGTACATATGCAGTCGCATGCTGCCCCTGTAGATTAACCACATTTCAGATTCAAGAGTATCCTGGGAGGCAATACAGGTAAACGCCAGTTCTTCAAGTGATTGCAAATGCCCATTCCACTGTAGGTGTTTGTGTGCTCCAATGTACAGGTGTAGGAGAGTTTCAGCTGTTAGTGTTACCTGTTGGGGCGACCTGAGCACCTACACTGTGCAGGCATAAAGGGATGAACTGCCCTGACCCCCTTTAGTTCCTTCCTACCTCTTGTGACAGTTGTTGGAGCTCCCTGGTCTTGCTTCTGCAAGTCTCTACTCAGTACCTGTAAATAGTACCCCTCTATAGTCAGTACAGAAAAGAATTGTTTTTGTTACTTTGTGTGGTTCTGGCACCTAGTTTGGGTACCGGCCCCAGTACCGAAGATATGCTATGCTCTTTGGGTTTCAAGCCCTGACACTCTAGCAGCAAGGCAATGCCTAATAGTGACCCTCACCCCAGCTGCCTTAAGTTCATGTGAGTGACAGGTGTGGCATCTGTAAGGGCATTAAGCCTCATTCTAAAAAAAGATAGGGCAGCCAGCTTAAAATGTCTCCTGATGGAACTGGCACTGTGTCCTTCATCTGAGCCATCTGCCTCAGTCTGGGTACCGAGCACCTTAGTGTTGGTCAGGAGCAACTCACCACTGGGCAACCGGTACCAAGAGACAGATCAGCATCGCTAGTAACAGAGGCATCAGAAATTGGAGTTGCTACGAGGCATGTCGACAGATGTAAAGAGGATGAGTTCTTCTAAAGACTTGGGAGGGCATTCAAAGAGGAAGCACTCACTAAAGCATACCTCTAAACAGGGAAGTTTGTTGATGTCAGAGCTCAGTGCAGGCCTGTTGAGACCGACTCCCGAAGCACCTTAGTCGGCATATCCTTGCACCACAGTGTATCTTCCTGGTACTGTCTACCCCTAAGGCATTTGAGGCTATGAGAGGGTTGTTAAATCTCTGTGTCGCCATCACCAGCAATTCAAAAGCCTCTCCAGGCCCCCAAGCTACTGCCTCCAGTGCCTTCACCCCTGCACCAAGCAGTTCCATCTGATTGTGCCATCAGGGTACCAGTTAGGGCTGTACCCTTCAAGGAAAAGCCACAGATGATCTCCCCAGCTCCCCTTTCTTCAGATTCTGAGCCTTCTTCACTGCTACCAATGGGTACAGCCATGACCACAAGAAGAGGTTTCTTCCTCATCAGACTCTGAAGTGGGATCCTATGTATCGTAGCTGGTCCCATCAGGAGGGATGTGTCGCTGCCCAGTGTGGTTTCTGCCTCAGTACCAGCAAGATGCTTATAGGAGGGACCTCAGGACTATGCATAGTTGGGGACTGGGTCCTTACTGGTGGACCTTTTGGAACCTGTGGGGCTTCCTGCCCAATCAGTAGCATCCCTGCAGCTACCTCAGCTGGCTTCATCTACTGGTGTCAGGAGCATCGATACCGCTGTGGCATATCAGGGTGCAATCCAGACCAGGGAGTGGCTGTGTCACCACTGCCCTGTAACCTGGGGTGCCTTTGCAATGCCTTGCTGTAACCTCCAATGTGGACTGCTTTAAAATAGCCACCAGTCTGCCGGTCACTCCCAGATGCTTGTGTGAACTGCAGCCTGCCAGCCACACCTGGGCTCTCAACAGCCTTGATTATTACTGCACGGTGACCCCAACACACTTCCAATCCCAAACTTTCCCCAGAAATGTATGTTCTGCAGTGTCCAGCCCTCCCCGACAAAGTCCAGAAATACTGTTTGTTATTCCCTTAAGGATATAATGTACACCAGCTTATCTGATAAGACACTTCAGTTTACACAGTGCATTAGATGAAACAATAAAACAAATGTATTAACTAGAAAGAGAGCGATTTTAAGTGAGTACAAGTAATGAGGGATAAAAGTCAGAAATAGTTTTTAAAAAATGATAGCAAAGATAACGCTTTCTACTGCTTACTTAAATTCTATTAGATTCAAAGCAAAGTTTCTCATCATACGGTTCCAGCTGCATTACTGACCAAACTCCTTAGGTCAGGAGCCCTTTCTCCCAATGTCCAGTGGCTGTTTTTCTTTGTCGTCTTCAGTGCAATGCCAGAGACAGACTGGGAGAGAGAGAGGTGTCTTGGGATTTGCCCCTCTTTTATTTATTTATTATATATGTATGAATGTATGTATGTTTTATTCCCTCTTTGAAAAGTACAGTATTTCCAGCTGAGAACCAGGAGACTGGCAGTCTGCTGGAGGAAGGAGACTCCATTCTTTCTCTTTGCTAAGATGCAGATCTTTTTCCCTGCCCCCCTTTCTGGCCAAAGAATGACCACTTTGTAGGTAATGGCCCATCCACTTTGTTGACACCTGGCTGCAGTGTCCGCTTGCCCTTGGTCTTTGAGACACTGGTTTAACCACTCCCCAGACTTACCTGGCAAACATACTTCAGTCATGATTTCAGCTTAGGTTCATAACTTTACCTATAATGTTGCTACGTGCACTTTACCATGCTGTTTTATGGTATCACACTTTACCAAGCTGGCTGTATTTTAAAGAAGTCTTATTGAGGGCGCAGGAACAAACAATCCCGATGTGCAGAAAAAATAGCAAATATGGCAGACTTAACACTGAAATCTTCGGTGAGCTTAAACACAAAAAGGAAGCTTACAAGAAGTGGAAACTTGGACAGATGACTAGGGAGGAGTATAAAAATATTGCTCGGGCATGCAGGGGTTTAATCAGGAAGGCCAAAACACAACTGGAGTTGCAGCTAGCAAGGGATGTGAAGAGTAACAAGAAGGGTTTCTACAAGTATGTTAGCAACAAGAAAAAGGTCAAGAAAAGTGTGGGACCCTTAATGAATAGGGGAGACAGCCTTGTGATAGATGATGTGGAAAAAGCTGAAGTGCTCAATGCTTTTTTTGCCTCGGTCTTCACAGACAAGGTCAGCTCCCACACTGCTGTCCTGGGCAAAACAGTATGGGCAGGAGGCGAGTAGTCCTCAGTGGTGAAAACAGGTTAAGGACTATTTAGAAAAGCTGGACATGCACAGGTCCATGGGTCTGGATCTAATGCATCTGGGTGCTGAGGGAATTGGCTGATGTGATTGTAGAGCCATTGGTCATTATCTTTGAAAACTCGTGGCGATCGGGGGAAGTCCCGGACGATTGGAAAAAGGCAAATATAGTGCCCATCTTTAAAAAAGGGAAGAAGGAGAACATAGGAACTACAGAAAAATCATGGAGCAGGTTCTCAAGGAAACCATTTGGAGGGGAGAGGAAGGGGATCAGGAACAGTCAGCATAGATTCACCAAGGGCAAGTCATGCCTGACCAACCTGATTGCCTTCTATGATGAGAGAACTGGCTCTGTGGATATGGGGAAAGCAGTGAACGTGATATATCTTGACATTAGCAAAGCTTTTGATACGGTCTTCCACAGTATTCTTGCGAGCAAGTTAAAGAAGTATGGATTGGATGAATGGACTATAAAGTGGATAGAAAGCTGGCTAGATTGTCAGGCTCAACGGGTAGTGATCAACGGCTCGATGTCTAATTGGCAGCCGGTATCAAGCAGAGTACCCCCAGGGTCGGTCCTGGGGCCGGTTTTGTTAAACATATTCATTAATGATCTGGATGATGGGATGGATTGTACCCTCAGCAAGTTCGCAGATGACAATAAGCTCGGGGGAGAGGTAGATTTGCTGGAGGGTAGGGATAGGGTCCAGAGTGACCTAGACAAATTGGAGGATTGGGCCAAAATAAATCTGATGAGGTTCAACAAGGATAAGTGCAGAGTCCTGCACTTAGAAAGGAAGAATCCCGTACACAGCCAGTCAATCCCCAGCCTGTAGCGAAGCAGCAGTTCTGCAGAAAAAGACCTGGGGATTACAGTGGATGAGAAGCTGGATATGAGTCAGCAATATGCCCTTGTTGCCAAGAAGGCTAACAGCATATTGGGCTGCATTAGTGGGAGCATTGCCGGCAGATTGAGGGAAGTGATTATTCCCCTCTATTCGGCACTTGTGAGGCCATATCTGGAGTATTGTGTCCAATTTTGGGCCCCCCACTACAGAAAGGATGTGGGCAAATTGGAGAGAGTCCAGCGGAGGGCAACGAAAATTATCAGGGGGCTGGGGCACATGACTTACGAGGAGAGGCTGAGGGAAGTGGGCTTGTTTAATCTGCAGAAGAGAAGAGTGAGGGGGGGATTTGATAGCAGCCTTCAGCTACCTGAAGGGGGGTTCCAAAGAGGATGGAGCTTGGCTGTTTTCAGTGGTTGCAGATGACAGAGCAAGGAGCAATGGTCTCAAGTTGCAGTGGGGGAGGTCTAGGTTGGATATTAGGAAA